TTAACTGACGACACTTGTTATGAGAGTTCGGTCCAAGTAACGCCTGCGATGCCCTAATCTGGCCTCCCATCTTGGGGCAGCGCATCTAAAATGCAGTTCGTTTAGGGGACACCCACTGTACAAGTGGCACAGATTAAGTCATAGCCAAGTCAGGTCCGGCCCGACGCAATCCGATACAAGATTTTTATTTGATTACAGGAAGATTGGATACCAGGTTGGAATTAGTTGACAGTCGTACGAAGGCAGACGTACGGCACCCCGAGTAACAGTGGAGCAATTTTCAGATGGTCTTGAGTGACAACAGGGGCGAATCCGACAGGTTGCGTGGGTGACACAAGCGGACGCATTCTCGTAGCTCTATCAGCCGCTTGTACTCAATCCCGGCTTCAAATAATAGATAGGACCGCACAGTAAACTGACACATGAGAAAGGAAAGAGAGTAAGAATGACATCGGAGACTCTATCCCCATAGCATTTCAGGACACTAAAGCTGAAGCACTAGGAAACTATCACGGCGCATTGAACATCGTAGCTTTGAAAGCAGCACACAGGCGGTAACTCAGTCCCTTCAGGACGGACATTTAGGCGGGGACGTCCTTTGAATATGACCTCTTTGGCACTCCCACTCAGTCGCGACCCGAGAAGACCTTTGAAAATCGGATTGAACGCGCAAAAACCGGGCGTGTGTGTAGCACGCCTATACGTACTGTTTACATTTATCGACCACTGTGTCTGATTCCGCCTCTAGCCGAGGACGGAGAATTTCCTTTGCACGCAAGTCACCGTCCAGCAGCCACCTTGCTGTGGGACGCACGGCAGACATAGACGTTCACAAAGACCTGCACACCAAGTTGCCCGTTCAAAAGTCACGTGACGAACGTCGATACAGAGGATTATTCCACAACGACGTTGCTGCGGGTATTCGAAGACAAGGCGGACAAAAGCGATGACACTCAGATACCCTCCAGCGTTTCAAGATCAGCATGGGAAGGTCTTGTACAGAATCAGCCAGTATGACATACTGTCGCAAGGGGTTAAACAGCAATCTACAAAGTCCGACGAATAAGGAAAGGGTCTACAAAAAAGAGGGCAGACGTAATTCTTGATTACTGGGAGCCGACTCGCAAACATACTTAAAACTGGTGAGCTTTTTCACATGGCCGAATAACACTTGTGAAAGGAGTTGGCTTTGCCTGACACATCCAGATCCAGCGTTATTCGAATGTATATGAATCAACTCCCAGGGCACAAAGAGGTCACCACGGCCGTTAATGTGAAGGAATGCCCTTCTCCTTTTGTAACATCGCATTGTTCGCTGTGACCGGACATGACTGTTTCAATACCAAGGACGATTGCACCAGCTTAATTACACCACCATCAATATTTTCACTATAATTACCTCCAACATCATCAGAAATGCGACCGTACATAGTAACTATTCACTGACCAACTCGGTCTTATGCAGATCAATAGCATTGTGATTGAGGAACAAGGTCGCGGAGGCCCTATCCGCAACTATGACGCATGCCCTTCTTTTCCACGCTGTTCCCGTATACTCAGACGTTGAATGGACCTATTCGGTCACAGATGCATACGTGAAAATTTGCAGCAAAGACTAGAGCTCAAGCGTTCTTTACAGCATTGCGCATAAACCTCCACAAAATGCAAGGCAGGTGTGCTGAAGCCAAATTGTGGTTTTACTAACACACATTTATCTGGCTGTATTGAGTCTAAGAGAGACTACCACTACTGCCGTGCAAGCGTGCGGCGCTGTTACTGCATAATTAAATCAAGAGGTCATCAAAGCAGATTCAGGTAATACGTACCTGATTTTGCTTGTCTGCGTTTACGGCATTGCTGTAGCATTTCAAGGCCTCTTTGTACTGATGCATGCTCTCGTACAGAGTTCCCAAATTCACCCAAGCAGTTACGTGGCATTTGTCCAACTGCACGGCACAAAAATACGCCTGTAGGGCGTCCATGGGCTGATTCTGCTCCTGATATAAGACGCCGATGGAGCACCTAGAAAGGCACCAGCAAACCAAGAAGACAGTGAATGTCAGAAACGGGTTAAACGAAAAGCAAGCTGAAGGATGGAAGTCTAGTGATCGTCAACAGGCTACGGAAGAAACTGTACGTACCAGGTGTCTGCACTGGCCTCCGTTTTGTCGATTGAGCTGCGATATGCACTAAAGGCTTCTTGGACACGATTCACAGCGGCCTGGCAACGACCTAGAAGGTACCAAGTTTTGCCGTTGGAACTATCCAGTTCTAGTGCTTGTTGGAGAAGCTGAACAGCAAGATCCCGATCTGAAGTATTGTCTTCATTCTGTCCTGGCGGTTTTGGAGAGGTTGAACCCGTCTGGTATAACCACGCTAGTAGAAAATACGAAGGTTATTCAAAACCCAAAGAGGTTACATGCGACATGTGCCTAATTAAAACTTCTATCATAACCCGTAGAATATTTAATTTTATGATTAACCGTAGTAAATGCAGTTACTCGCTAGGAGTGAAGTATGGAATAGGAAGGGTTCGAGATGTGCGGCGCGCTGGTTATAAAGAAACCTTACTCAGCTAAGTGTCGTACCCGACTTTGGCACACCAAATAAGACAGTGTATACTCAACCATTTAAAATGAAGGAACTGTAGATGAGACTTCACCAAGTAACCGGTTCAAGATAGCATTAAAAACTGTCACACTTAACGAAGGCAGTTTATATAAACGGGGAAAATATCAGAGGGGACAGAATAAGTCGCAAGCCTGCAAGCATTGCCGGAAAACGCAAAAATAAGCAAATTAAATGAAGTACCTAGCTGCCGTAGACAGAGATGACGAACTACAACAGAATTTTCCGACTTTGCAGCCTCGAGGATTTGCTCATATGCCGCTTTTGCTGGTTTGGATTTCCCGCAGACTTCCAACAGATGGCCAATTTGAAAGCGAACTAAATATAAACCGGTTAAAGAGGATGAGACTCACTTTCAAGGGGTCCCCAGGTACCGGGACTAGTATCTGCAAGTGCTTGTCGAAAATTTCTAATACTTTTGTCCAATTCTTTTCTTAGCTTATAAATATAACCTAGGCGTATGTGTATCTC